GATTCTAGTCACATGTGAGTCAAGCTGGGACTAATGAGAGCAATATTTCAAATCCCTAAATACCACAGAAGAGGCAGTGCGCATGCGCTCACTTTTCATTAATTTCTCCGTGGGAGATTTCTGCCACTTGAGGCTTCCCTTCACATGCCTGGTGGGGTGGAATCCAAGGACTTGAACTCTCCCTCACTTTCCCTTTCTCTTCTCTCTGTCAATCTCTCCCTTCTCTCAGACACCATGACGTTTCCTGCTCAGCTTGTTGTGTCTATGATATCCTTTGTCATTTGAAGAGGAAACTTTAAACATCGGATATCATGAGATGCCTGCCCCTCACCTCTTCCATTCCAGAAGCTTGCTGTCCTGGCTAAGCACAACGAATTCCTGCCCCTTGAGCTCCCATGAGCTAGTTGTTGATGGATGGACCTGGTATCAAGAGGAGCATGGGCTGGATCAGGCTTGCAAGCAACACTGATCAGTCACTTTAGATCTCCTTGGAGCCATGCACACATGAGGTGCTGTGCTGAACATAGCCCTCTGTAACATCTTTCTCTTGTGCCTTCAACTTGCATTAAGGTTTCTTTGGCATTGTCTTTGCTGCTTCTGAGAAACTCATTAAAAAAGTCATGCAGTAGGTTCTGGGCATATAATTGCCCTAGAATTGAGAATATACTAAGTTTTGCTGATAAGCAGCTGATGTCATGGCATCTTCCATATGACCTAGGTACTTTGATTTAGAAAGAAAGCTGGGTGCTGATGGCTCATGCCTGTAATCCTAGCTATTCAGGAGGCTGAGATTTGCAGATCCTAGTTCAAAACCAGACCTGGCAGGGAAGTTTGTGAGAGATTTGTATTTCAAATTAACCACCAAAAAAGGCAGACGCGGAGGTATGGTTCATATGGTATAGAGCACTAACCTTCAGCGAAAAAGCTCAGGGACAGCACTCAGGTCTTGAGCTCAAACACCAGGACTGTTACAAAAAAAGAAAGAAAAAGAAAAAAAATGAAAGAAGGAGGAACAAATAGATCAAGTCAACTTTGGAGTTGCTAGAGACAGCACTCCCACTTCAGGGAGAAAAAGGCATGATGTAGCTAGTCTCTTGTCTCGGCAGAGAAGCCTTTCCCCTCACCCCAAGGGAGTGCTCTTCATTCTTCTTATCCTCAGAACTGTGAGATCTCAACATAATCCCACCTATAGTCATACCTGAGAGAGATCTGAGGCTCTTCCAAGACCAGGAGAGCAGAGACACAGGGTAACCAACATTTCTTAACTGGCTGTGGGAAGCTAAAGTCATCCAGACTCAATCTACCCTTTCTATTCTCATCAGACCTTATTCTACCAACACGATGACAAAATCCCACTGCCTCCTGTCTATCCCAAGAGGTCACAAAGTATCTCAGGTAGGGATCCTAGGGCAGAGCCTGGAAGCTTCCTGAAGCTCCATCCCTGACTAGGTGAGATACATCAGTGATGCTGAAGTTCAGGTCTAGATGAATGGCCACACCCAGATTCCTTCACATTGAGATCCACTTGGTGAAGAATGAACAGCATAAGCTGTTCCAGGTGGCTCATACCTGTAATCCTGAAGCCAGCTCCAGTAGGAAAGTCCATGAGACTCTTATCTCCAACCAACCACAGGCCTGAGCTGTGGCTCAGGTGGTAGAGTATTAGCCTTGAGCACAAATCCTCAGAGACAGTGCCCAGGCCTGGAGTTCAAGCTCTAGAATCGCCAAAACAAAACAAAAAGGGATGAACATAAGAAGTTGGGAGGGAAGGAATTTGGACTCCCATTTCTGCACATTTCCACCTAAAAGATGGAATTTGTTAATTTCAAGATGAAGACAGGTTTATCTTGAAAAGTTTTTGGCATTTTTTGGATTGCTGAGGTTGCGCCATTTTGTTATGTGACCCTGCTACATGGTGGTTACTTTGTAGTCCTCAAGTGAGTTGTACTGAGCAATGCCACTGAGCTGATGGGAGAGAGGAAGCAGAGTCTAAGACACAATATGATTTTGGAGTGAATTCCTATTCTATTTGGCCTTAATTCAGAGGCCTTGGGAGCCAGCATTGACTAGGCTACCCACTGATCTTGGGGGATAGAAAGACTAGTGGTGAGCTGGGCTCTGTGGCTTGTAATCTTACCTTGAGTAGGTAAGAGATCGGAGGATCATGATTCAAAGCCAGCCTGGGTAGACAAATCAGAGAAGATTGTATCTCCAATTAACTTAGCACAAAAGCTAAAAGTGGAGGCGTGGCTCAAGTGGTAGAGTGCCACCCTAAAGCTAAGTGACAGTGTGAGTTCAAATTCAGGTTAGAAACAAAACAAAACAAAACAAAAAAATGCATAACCACCTGGTCACTTTTCCAGCTTGTCTACCTTATCTTCTGCAGTTTAAGGGCACACAACTCTACCCAAACCATCTTCCAAGCAAGATGGAAAGTTCCACTAAGTCTATCTTATCAGCTTTCTTCCTTCCTTCCTTGATTCCTTCCTTCCTTCCTTCCTTTCTATCTTTCCTTCCTTCCTTCCTTCTTTCCTTCCTTCCTTCCTTCCTTCCTTCCTTCTTTCCTTCCTTCCTTCCTTTCTTTCATTCTTTCTTCCCTTCCCTCCCCTCCTCCTCTCCCCTCCTTCCTTTCTTCCTCTCTCTCTCTCTCTCTCTCTTACTTTTTGTAGGTCATAGGGTTTGAACTTGGAGCCTGGGCACTGTCCCTGAGCTCTGCAGCTCAAAGCTAGCATTCTACCACTTGAGCCACAGTGCTACTTCCCACTAAGTCATTTTTAAGAGGTAACTGGTGACTTGGCAAAAATTCTTGCCAAAGTAACCAAGAGATTTGTGGAGTTCAGATATTGGAGGGGAAGTTTCTGTCAAGTTAGATGAAGAAAATTGAAGTGTTTTGGAGATTTAGACATTCCAGATTCATCTTTCTGACTTTCTGGCTCATACCAATATACAAAATAACATGAGGGGGGCTGGGAAGGTGGCTCAGTGGTAGAATGCTTGCCTTGCATGCACGAGGCCCTGGGTTTGATTCCTCAGCACCACATAAGCAGAAAAAGCTAGAAGTGGCGCTGTGGCTCAAGTGGTAGAGTGTTAGCCTTGAACTGGAGTTGAAGGACAGTGCCCAGGCCCAGAGTTCAGGCCCCATAACCGACAACAACAACAGCAACAGCAAAAAACCATGAGGCAGACTGTCTAGTGCGGATCAAAGTGTCCACCTTGCTGATGGCTGGGCAGTGGTGCCAATAAACCCCAAATACAAGGCCTCCCATTAAAGGTGGATAAGATGCTGGGAGCCAGTGGCTCACACCTGTAGATTGAACTACTCAGAAGGCTAAGAAAGGAAGATCATGTTTCAAAGCCAGCATAGGCAGGAAAAATCTGTTAACCATCTAAAAACTTCTATTAATCATCTAAAAGCTGCAAGTGGAGCCGTGGCTTATGAGGTAGAAGAACAGCCTTGAGCAACAACTAAGGGACAATGTCCACGACCTGAGTTCAAACCCTGAGCACTAGCACGCACACCCCCAACAACCCCGCCCCCACCACAAAGTAGTTAAAAGGGAACTTAGGATAAAGGGGCTATTTATGTAGGCTGGTTACCTGTGTCTTATCTACTTCTCTGCCCAGGCTGGCTTTGAACAGCAATCTTCTGTATTTCAGCCTTGGTAGTAGCTAGGATCATAGGCTTAAACCCCAGTCCCTCGCTGACAGGTGGCCACTTTCTATACAAGAAAAGAGCAATGGATGGAGCAAGATCATCTTATCCATTTCCAGCTCAGAACACACTTCTTCCAGATTTTCCTGGGCCAGTACAGAGCCAGCCCTGAGCAATAGTAGATCAGTTCCTCTGTTGATATACTGAGTGAGTACCTTTTCATGTGTCCTGTTGGTAGAACATTAGAGATCAGAGATGGCTTCTTCTTGCCTTCCTACCTACTTATCAATGGGTGGCCTTGGCTTTGATGATTGTAAGACCGAAAGAGACTTTAGTTCTCCTATTTTTTCTTTTTCTTTTTTGCTGTCCTTGCTAAGCACAACAAATTCCAGTCCTGGAGTTTGAACTCAGGGCCCAGGTACTCGCCCTGAACTTTTCACTCAAGGCTAGTGATGTATCACTTGAGACACAGCTCCACTTCTGGCATTTTTTGGTAGTTAATTGGAGAATAGAGTCTCATGGACTTCCTGCCTAGGATGGCTTTGAACCATGATCCTCAGATCTCAGCCTCCTGAATAGTGGCAGCCACCAGCACCCTCCTTCCCCCTTCTCCTCCTCCTCCTCCTCCTCCTCCTCCTCTTCCTCCTCTTCCTCCTCTTCCTTCTTCTTCTATCTAGTGAGTACCACATGTCTTTACAGTGAAGACGGTCATAGTTGCAGGGAAGTCAGCACATACTAGACAGATGAAGTCTGCTGAACACTTGGTAGGTGTTAATTGATTGGGAAACTCGACCTTGAGCCATCCTGGCAGTTGTAGAAGCCCTGCAGCGTGGTGGAACACAAGCTGTAGGATGTGCCCTGGGGAGCAGATAGTCCATAGGTCAAACATACTAGGAAAGGAGCAGGGAGTTTAGAAAACGAGGGGAGTGTAATGTCTAGGACAGTTAGTGAGATGATTCTAGAGGATGTAACTGTGTCGTACAGAGAAGTCAGGACTGAGGGACAGCTTGGGGCTTATCGTTGGTCGTGGCCCTCGGCAGAGCAGCTGCCACTGGAGGGTGGGGTGAGGGGACACGGAGGCTGGTATATGGATGGAGGGAAGCGGGAGCGTCAGGACCTTGCAAAGGATGCTTGAAGCTGGAGAGGATGAAGGGTTGAAACTCAAAGGGGGTTGAGGAGTGACGGAGGAAGCCCAGTGGAGTAGGGCATTCTGGCTTCCCTTCCTGGGCCCAACAAAACCACCACAGAGCTGAGTTTGGATTGTAACACTTTAATGCATGGATTCGAGGGGCTGAGCCACGGTGCTGTAGATGAGCAATTGTGGGAGTGATACTGGGCCTCCCATGGATCAGCCAAGGACCTCTTGGACATTCTTGCCATTAGGGCGTGGTGACAGTATGTTTGTGGAAGCATTCACCAATCCTTGCAGTTCCTTCCTGATTTCACGGGCCATCTTCGTTATTTTTCCCTCTGAGGTGGCTGCTGGGGAACATGGAGGAGAGAAACATATAGTTAAAGTCCTGTGCTGCTTCACTCCTTGATGAATGAGGACACTAGCCTTCCATAGGGCTGGCAGTCTGTGTGACAGTTCATGTCATTTATAACTATTTTTTTTATTAGCTTAACATTAGATATGCAAGGGGGGATTTCATTGTTACATTTCCATACATGTTTATAATATATTCCATTCAATCTCTTCCCCTCTATTACTCTTCATTCTCTGTGACCCCCCTTCCCCCAAACAATTTCAGCAGATTTCATCCATTTCTTCTCATAGCTGCAAATAACCTATTTTGACCATCTACATATTTCATGGATTTTTAATTTTGTCCCCCCCACAGCTTCCTTTATCTTTCTGCAAACATTTTTTGGTGTTGGTTGTGGAGGCTGAACTTTGGGCACTGTTCCTCAACTCTTCAGCTCAAGGCTAGCGCTCTACCACTTGAGCCACAGCGCCCCTTTCTGCTTTTTCTGCTTATGTGGTGCTGAGGAATTGAACCCAGGGCCTCATGCATGCAAGGCAAGCACTCTACCACTGAACCAACTTCCCAGCCCTTTCCTTTCTCTTTCTAACCCCACCTTACCTCTATCTAAGCTGTTTTCTACTCCTGCCCTTTTCTGCTTGATTCCTCTCCAACTGCTTTCCCCTGTTCCTTGGTTCCTACCAGGCCTGGGAATGAATTCTGTAAGCTTTTCTGATGGCTGCTCGGCATTTTGGAATCTGTCCTCTTGCTGCTGCTGGGTCTTGTGACTCTTTGGTCTGGTAGCTTGAATCACCACATTATCTTCGGAAATCAGCTCTTCTCTGAAGATGAAAGGCTCCTTAGAAAGAACCTCATTGGAAATGTGATCCTTCCTGGAATGGCTTGTTTGAGTGATCTGCGTAGCTGTGACCAAGGAGATGGAGGGGGTGAGGTGCAGAGAAAGAGTTCACTGTGAGACATAGACATCCAGCTACATTATGACCCCTTCATATGTAATGGGTATTGGAGTTGAGTTACTGCCTAATTAATACACAAGCAAATCCTCAAATCCACAAAGCACAGTTATAATTGTGTGTGTGTGTGTGTGTGTGTGTGTGTGTGTGTGTGCTGGTCTTGAGGTTTGACCTCAGGCCCTGGGCACTGTCCCTGAGTTTTTTTTTTTATTTTTTTCTTTTACTTTTTTAGGCTAGCAGTCTATGACTTGAGTCACAGTTCTGGCTTTTTTTGGTGGTTTATTGGAGATAAGAATCTCACAGACTTTCCCGGGCTGGCATCAAACCACGATCCTCAGATCTCAGCCTCCTGAGTAGCTAGGATTACAGGCGTGAACCACCAGCAGCTGGCTACACCTATATAATTTTGAATGCCATTAATTAGGAATTCCACTTCGCCCAGCAAATCTACTTTCCCAATTAAAGATCATTTTTTTTTACAAACATCTGTCTCATAGCCTTGCTCATAGTCAGAGTTAATTAACATCAGCTCATTTTCTTTCAGTTATGATCATTGCTCCCATTTTGCTTTTTCACCCCTCAGGTAAACTGGAGGAAGCTGGTTTGAGATTAAATTAGGTGCATAGATAATCCTGAAATGTTCCTAGTGGGGGAGCTGAGCCTGCAACAGATGAGGCCTCTAATCTTCTTGCTTTGGGGTGAGCTGAAATGAGTTGCTCTGTAACATTTAGGTGTGAGATACAGTCCTTATCCCAACATCCAATGACTACCTAGCATGTTCATATGGTTTCCGACCCTCACATCTTGGCCAATTAGTGCCATAGGAAAGGCAAATACTGGGAGGGACCGTCTGTCTCTCTCCTTCCTCAGGTGGAAAGTTCATCGTTTCCTGGCTAGCCATTGACCATCACCGGCTAAAGACTTACGGGCATCTGTGTGCTGAGTCTCTGTGGGGACTTCATCTTTTGGCTCTGAAGAGGAAGAGATGAACATCTTCAGAGGTTTCAAGACAGTTTATACACGAGTCCCTCCCCAGCAACCATCCCTCACACCCCCATACCCTCAATTTTTCACCTCCCTTACTTTTCTTTTTGTTCTTCTTCGCATATAATATATGCTAAGAAGTATATAATTTATTTAAGATATGCATCATTTATTTCGTGGTGATGACTCAGGTGTCTGTCTAGTCTTTTTGTGTATCCTAAGTCCCTAGAACTCTGCCTGACCCAATGTAAATGTTTAATACATAGCTAGTGGATTCAATAAATAGTGTGTGCGCACACACATGTGGTTTTTTTTTTTTTTGTTCTCATTGTACAGAGGGAAGGCAGATGGTCCAATTCAGGTTGTCAAGAATCACTCCATCAGTGATCTGTCTAATGGTTGACCAATGTCTTCCCTGCTATGGACCTCATATGGCTCCTCTGAATGCATTCTGGGTTGCAGGATTCCTGGGGTTCTATGTTCTTATCCTCTGCCTCTATCCTCAAGGCCTTCCCCACCTTTCTGGGGTCCGGTCATGGGGCCTGAACTCTGGGCGTGGGTGCTGTCCCTCAGCTCTTCAGCTCAAGGCTAGCACTCTACCACTTGAGCCACAGTGCCACTTCTGGTTTTTTGTTTTTGCTTATGTGGTGCTGAGGAATCGAACTCAGGGCCTCATGCATGCAAGGCAAGCACTCTACCACTGAGCCACCTTCCCAGCCCCCGCTTCCCCACCTTTCTATACAGCATCTTATAAGGGTTAAAGAAGTCTTTAACCTTGCTGATGTCTCTCAGCTGACAGCCCAGTGACTTCCAGGGGACTGAGGGAAGTGGAAAGGAGGCCATACTCACCGTGAGGGGCGGCGAGAGACGTGGCGGCTAGGCTGGCCAGCAGCAGAACAGTGAAGAATTTCATGGTGGAGCTGAAGAGGGATAAACTTTCCCTGGGGAGACTGCTTAGAGCGGTCGGGAGTCAGCCTTTATTTATTTATGGGTAAGGATGGGAAACGGGCTCAAGATTGGACCTGGGAGCATGCCAGATTTCCCCATTCTGAATATATTTGGTTGTTGGAATTGGAGTTTCTGGAAAACCAGTTAATAGGAAAAGAAGTCCCCTAGCCTTTCACCTGGCTTGAGCTATGCCAAGGTGTGTCAGCCGCAGGCTCTAACCCATATGTCTTTGGGATAACTTACGAGTTGAGTTGTCTCATTCATGACACGCCTTACAGGTCCATTTTTTACTTTTAATCATGTGAGATTATGCCTGTTTTCCTTGTCACTCCTTTGTGCCCCCCTGCCACCCTGTCCCAAACTTCTCTAGCAGCTGGTATATAACAGGAGTTCTGAAAATAACAGTTGGGTGAATAAGAGGGCAGATAAAACTCCCCATACGTTCAGGAATGAAGAAGCAAAGCAGTTACAGGACATCTAACTATAGGCCAGGTACCCCCCACCCCCAAGCCTGTTCATATGGGATATCTCTTTTAACATAATGTGGGGGAGTTTAGTGATTAGTCACAGAAACTCATATTCCCAAAGGCAAGGCGAAGAACATAAAGCTCACTCATTTGGATGGATTTGAACCAGCTGTATTCAGGGTCTAGTGATGACCTTCGAAACCTGCTTTTGGATCATCTCCAGGCAGAGAGGGGCTGCTGGCCCTGAGGCCAAGCCTTGGGTCTTCAGCGGGAAGCAGCTTGCTGGGAATGGCAAAGTTCTACTGAGGATATGGTCTTGCTTGTAGGTGGCAGAAAGCTTGGGACTGTGCCGGCCATTGTGAGTCCTGTACCCATGGGAGTGGAGAGCCCTAGGGGGCTGGCATTTGTCCCCCAATTGCTACAGCCCAGCTCACTCCTTAGGCAAGAGGATGAACTGGAGGAAGTTTGTCTTGGGCTGCCTCCCACCTCCCCTTCCTCCCTGATGTCCCCTCTTACCAGCCACCTCCCCTCCCATAGCCCCGGGCACTCAGAAGCAGGGTCAGGCAGATGATGATATTCGTAGAGTCCATGAATATTGGGCTTCAGTTCTGCAAACTTAATTCCTGATGCATACAAAATGCACTCTACCAGCAGAGTCCCCATTCTCTCCAGGCTGTGCTATTTTAGTAGTATCTCTGACTCCCAGTTTGTCTCTCTTACAGACCCATCACCTGTATTAGTGGTGGGGGAAAGTTCAGGCCACATCTCTACTTGCAGGTCTTTAGTGATTATTCATCACTAACACCAGACTCCTCAGTTTTCCACGCTTCCAATCTCACTTCTTACCTCTGTGAGTTGGTCCCTGCTCACTAATATGCAAAACCAGGCTTCATACTATTCCTCTGCCAGGAACTGCTTTCTCCTTTCCATCTGTCTGTTATATTCCTACCCCGTGTCCCAGACTTGACCTCTCTTTCCTGTCCCCCCTCGATGAATCATCTTGCCTCTGTGGGCCTCACATGGCATTATTTATATCTTCATGTTTTCATCCTTGCAAACCACTACTATTTATTATCTACCATATGCAAAGTTTGGAGATAGAACGCAGATAGAACAAAATTGCCTGGTTCCTGACCTTATGGTCAGGAACATGCTGTCATATTTAAGTGCTTGGAAAAACATTGGTCTTACTGTTTTGAGGGCAGGGTCCATAGTTTATCTCTGAATCTCAATTGATTTCGTGCAGCCCTTCATAATTGCTGGACACTCCACTCTGGTTTTCTTGAGTCATTTTTCTTGTTCAATGTTTGCCCATTAGAATGTTTCATTAGAGTGTGAATGAGACCTCTGAGAGGAACAAGCACATAATTCAACAAAAGTGTATTTCAATGTCTACTGTTTAGCAGGTATGATAGAGGTAGTGTGCTAGCTCTCCAACCCTACAAGACAGGCCTGCTTCCTGTCCTCTCAGGCAAGGGTGCCAGGTAGGAGTTAAGTCACCTAGTTAGATGTGAATTTCATAGAAACAATGAGGGTTTTTCTTGGTATTAGTACAGCTCAAAGTTGCATAAGATAAAAGCCCATCTCAAAGACATCTAAGTTCACATTGAGTTGAGTGTGCTGGATTTCTGTGCTGAATGTGGCTCCCAGCACTCACGGCCTCAGAGAAGCACAAGAAGCTAGGGAAGCTTTTTCCTTCCACCCTTCCTTAGCCTAGCCTCCTCCCGTGTACGCGGTTAAGGATTTGGGGATAGGGGCATTGGAGACTAGACAGGTGGCAGTGTGTCTGACACACCTGTAACTCTTTTCTCTTTCTTTCTTTCGTTCTTTCTTTCTTTCGTTCTTTCTTTCTTTCTTTCTTTCTTTCTTTCTTTCTTTCTTTCTTTCTTTCTTTCTTTCTCTCTCTCTCTCTCTCCCTCCCTCCCTCCCTTCCTCCTTCCCTCCCTTCCATCCTTCCTTCTTTTCTTCCTTCCTTTCTTCTTTTCTTTTTTCTTTCTTTCCTTTTTCCCAATTTCAAGGCTATTTATTGATGACTATGTAGCAACATGCTTCAGGCATTATCAGTGTATTACAAAAGTACCTTAACACATAGCAGCTAAAAGCCATCATTTTCTTTGCTCACATTTTCACGGGGTGGGAGCTCAAAGAGAATCTGAGTTCTGGCTTGGATTCTGTCAGGAAGGGCTTGCATTCCGATGTTAGCAGGGCCACAATCCATGTAGGCTTTGACGGGCCTTGCTACCATGTGGAGCATGGATGTGGTGGGTTGTTGCTCATACCTGTAACTCTTGAGGAAACAGGTTGCTGAAGTGCTCTGCAGACAGAGCATTACACTGTGGGTCAGGTAACCTTGCTATCCTGACGATTCTTGGTCTCCTCTGAAATACATCGCCATGAGAAGGCATCACATGGGAATAAAGCCCATCTGTTAGCAAAAGAGAAAGGTTTGAGGAAGACCAAAGGTGTTTGTGTGTGTGTGTGTGTGTGTGTGTGTGTGTGTGTGTGTGTGTGCTGGGGCTTGAAGCTCAGGGCCTGGGCATTGTCTCTGAGTCTTTTCCATGCAAGGCTGGTGTTCTACTACTTGAGACATGTTCCACGTCTGGCTCTTTGGTGATTAATTGGAGATGAGGGTTGCATGACCTTTCTGCCTGGGCTGGCGATGAACTGAGATCTTCAGACCTCAGCCTTCTGAGTTGCTAGGATTACAGGTGTGAGTCACGGGGGTCAGTAGACCCGAGGGAGGTAGCTGCCCATTTCTGTTACTCCATAGTGGAGCCTTTCCAATCAAGTCAGTGAGGTCCCCCTCAGTGAATTTTGAGGCAGAGATACCCAGAGAAAGGCCAGTCAGAGATCTAAAGAGGCAGGAAGGAGGAAGCAGAGAGACAAAAGCATGGAGGCAAAGAGATGCTACTAAGCCCTGTCTAGAGCAGCCCTTGGGCCTGAGGTTCTGATGAGTGACTCGGCAGAGGCACCCAAGGGACTTAATAGCTCAGCCACACCAGTCCCTGCCCAGCATCCCCCGAGGCCTTCTCAGGTAGTTTCTGCTCTCTCTGCCTCCGTCACTGGATGTAACTGTATACACTGGAAATTCCCGATTGCATCTGGACTTTAGCTTCCTGTCAGGGTGTCTGCATCGTGTTCAGCTTTGCTAGTATTTCATGTGTGACTCGGGCCCTGGCCATCTCTAGGCCCCAATCTCCTTGGCAAGGGGATGGATGGACCGGGCCAGGTGGCTCGCCAAGGATGTCTAGTATTTTATTCTAGGTTCTCAGGCCCATGGATGAGCAGTGGAAAATTTCTTGGGAGATTTTTCATTTGAAAACAGCAGTTGAAAACAGCATTAAACATTGGCTCACATCACAATTAGCCTGGGGATTTCCATGAACCTCTTTTTTGCCCCCTCTCTCTGTGTGTAGTAGATATGCATTTAAAAAACTAGCATCCGGGGCAACTGTGATGCATAGGGTGCTTTTGAAAATTTTGTTCTACTGTTCCTGGAGTTTGAACTCAGGGCCTGGATGCTGTCTCTGAGTTTTTTCGTTTGCTCAAAGACAGTGCTCTACCACTTGAGTCACATCTCTACTTCTGACTTTTTGGAAGATCATTTGAGAGAAGTCTCATGAACTTTCCTGTCTGGGCTGGCTTTGAACCTCAATTCTCTGATCTCAGCTTCCTGAGTTGTTAGGATGACAGGTGTGAGCCTAGCACTAACATAGGTTTTGAGGACATCATACCCTCAGGTTGACAGAATGGCTTCTAAGCTCAGGAGCCTTTTCTGGCTAAGATTTTGGGAGTCACCATCTCTCTGTTAGAGAGAGAAAGAGTCAGAGAGGACTGGGGCAGGTGGCCAGGTGATGAGGGACAGAAAAGGAAGAACATTTTTTGACATCTGACTTTGAGCCAGACACACAAAGATTATTTGATTCTCACAGACATCTTCAGGGTAGTACTGATAGTTTCTGACCATCTGGAAAAAATGAAGGCTCAGAGAGGTTGAGTCCATATACTGAGATACCACAGAGGTATTGTTAGCTCCATTAGATTACTTAGGCTTTGCCAGAGAACCACGCAGACATCCAGGTACAGAGAACAAAGAAAGGTTTATTGCCCAGAAAGAGGGGGTGGGCAGCAAGACTCCTTCTCACAAGGGAGGAGAGAAGAAGCACGGGCTATTGTCTGAGGTGACCTATATAACCTAGAAGGTTTAGGAGGGGCTAGAAGGGGCTAGGAAGCGGAGACCCTGGTGTGGACCTGTGGGCCAGGGGCTTCATTATGGTGGACTAGGATTTATGGCTGCTGCCCAAATAGTAGATAAGGGGCCCTGCAGCTGCCCAGACCTGAAGGTCACTCTAAGGGGCTCTTGTTGCCTTATATGGTGGTAGCTGCCCCAGAGAAATGCCATCCCAAGGCAAAGGGGGCTGAAGTTGATTATTTACTGCCTTTACTACCTGGGCCTGGTGTTGCCTAGGAAGGGAGCATGCTAATCTGTGGAGAAGGG